CATTAAAAAAAAAAAAAAAAAACTAAATATCAATTTAATCTCTTAATAATTATATATAATTTAAGAATCTAAACATCCATGGCTAAATAAATTTAATAGAGAATGAAAAAAAAAAAAAATTGCAAACAAACATCGACTCAAAAAATTTAAGGACTTTGCCTTAGGCTAATTGGACTATCAATTGGAGCGCATTTTGGCTAGGTTAGAGAAATTGCGTGTTGTATGAAGGACATGTACCTTATGACCTATGTACATGTTATTTTTCTGATGTTATGTTGATGGATGTTATGTGATGCATCTACTTTTAATATGTTAGCCCATGTATGTTATGATACATGTTCACGATGGTGCCTCTAAGACATTGGTAATGAAAGATATGTCATGTACACATATGCATGTCTTATAGGGAAGTTATGTCATGAAAAAAATAGAAGTATGATGTGCATCATAATCATGTACTATGATTTAAAATTATGGGACCTCATGTATGTTGTATGTCACGAGGATAGGATATTTCTCTAGTATGGTTTGTATGTGTTGTGCGCCGAAAGCGGAACAAATGTACTCACAACACCAATGAACGGAATTACACAAAGAGATACCAAGATATTTACGTGGTTCGAAGAGAAGAAGTTCCCCTGCATCCACGAGTAGCAACCCATCACTAATAAACAAAGTGTTACAAGTGAGTACCTCACTATCACACTACACATACTCTCATTAATATGTCACTTAAGAAAAACAATGTGACCCTCAAAACTCTCCCAAATCCCGATATCAAATCTCGATATATAACTAAACCCTGGTATGACTAAATCTAATTCAAATAAGCAAATCAAATCTAATCCAAATAACCAAATCAAATCTAATCAAAATAACCCGATCAAATCAAAACTTATGATAATTTACAACAGTATGGATGTGTACATCATGATATGATATGTATTCCTTTCTTTCTATTGATTTTTTATAACATGAGTCTTTCTATTGATTTTTTGTAACATGAGTGTGCGCTAACTTGTAGTCAGGCTTACGGGTAGGTATACAAGCTCGTCTAGTGGGTTCATGCCTGAACTGTGCATGCAGAAGTATTATGCATCTAACCCTACCAAGAAAAGAAAGTAGAACACAGTGAATAGTCATGTGATTTCATTTTCCAACCTCAACCATGAGGTCACTTAGTATTTTTTAAAACTCAAACCATGAACTAAAATGAATTTTGAATGGTCCAAATCCGCGAAGAAATGATAAAGCTTGAGAGATAAGAGTTCTGAGTTCATATTCTAGGTTTTTCCTCATATCCGCGTGTTTTACTTGGATGACATTGGTTCTGAATTTTTAGTAGGTTAGATATATAATCACATGCAAAACAGTTTATAAACATTACATAACTTTAGGTTCTTTTCCGTTTCGGGTAAGGTTGGATGTATGATATAATTACATGCAATATGATCTTATCCTTACATAAAAACATCATGACATGACCTTAGGTTTCGCTTTTCAGTTCAAGTAGGGTTGTATGTGTAGTACATCCCTACACACAACCCATACATGCACACATGAACCTACCAAACAGGCTTGTATATGTATTTCTGGGCCTAGCACATCAGGCTAGCAGACACCCATGCTATCCGACACCATGGAGCGAAAAGTCCCACATACATATCGCTACGTATAAAATGTTAGGTTAAATATGAATTTTATGCTTCTTGATACTTTAACAAACCTAAAATTTTAAATATAAAGTTACTTTGAATAGGTTATTGAATTTTTATGTTTTCGCTCGTTCTAAAAGTTTACGTCACTTTTATTGAGTTCTTTATCTCGAGAAGCTCATACATCTACTTCTTATTAATATTCATAGAAATTAAGAAAAGTTTTAAAAATGAAAAATAATATTTTTTATAAAAAATATTGATTAAGAACAAAATGTAAGACTACAACCTGTACGATAATGATCTTCATCATAAGTGCGTTCTTCTTGAAATTGGAGGAACCTGTACGATAATGATCTTCGCCTCTGGACTAAGCGTTTCATCATAATCTGAATCCGAGATAGTTTGTATGATGATGCCATAATTATGTATAATGAAGCTATTTTGAATTTGAGACATATTGTTGAGAGAAACATGGAGCTACCGTCCAAGCCTTATATCTCTAGATTGATTCATACGGG